CATCTCAAAATGTATCGATCCTAACTATAACATACAGACTTAAATGTTCCTTTCTTTCAAGATAAAATCCTTTCTCCTTACGGAAAATTTAACGAAACCCTCTCTACAACTGTAAATCAGCACATTCGAAAAACTCCAATCCCGACGAATTCCTTCGAACCGTCCTCGCCGACTGAAGAGACGAAGACCGCAGTGTCTGTGAACGTGATAATGATACAAGTATTAATTAAACAGACAACATATTAGCAGTATTGAAGTACGTCCGGAGTATTTCCTACCGCATTGTTACGGAATAGAAGGTAGTTGTAATATTCTGAAAAAAAAATTGGGGAACTAGTCGCCCAGTAGATACAGTTTCTTATATCCATCTTAAAATGTGTGCAAAGTCATTTTCTATTCATTGATTTTTTCCCAGACTTTCCCGTTTCCGCTGTGCAAGGTCGATGGCGTTTTTGCAATCTGAATGGAATCTCTACATGTCAGATTATTTTTTCTTTTCCTTCGTAACTTATATTAAAAATCTGCTTCAAAATGCAGGATGATTTAGTGAAAGTGCATGTCCTTGCTTTACTTCTCACCGAACTGGGAAATAATTTTCAGCGACATTCACCCTTCTCCTCGATCCATGGCATGTACCAGTTAGATATGAGGATAGTCAGCTAGTACTTCGGAGTGCTTGGGACTTCAATACGAGTCCAACCTATGAAATGACAGGTTTCAAACATTTCTTTTGACCATCTAAGAATTTATTACAGTTTGCCTTATACGCGTTTGAACAAACTGAACAAGCACACATCTTGGTCTTTAAAAAGAAATTAAAGTAGTTAAGTAAGTAAAATAGTTCTAGTCATACATAACACCTTAACGTCAATCTACCAGTCTGGTATAGCGGACGGTTTGAACCACTTTGCAGTGTATTGTAATATTAACAATTAAAATTACCTGGGATATGCCAGGAATTGAACCCAGAACCGTTAACGTGGCAAATACAACCAAGGTCAATCTATATCCCGTAAAGGGAATTGTCTATGTACAACTTAAGTTGATTTATTTTATCAAATTTCATTTGGCGAATTTATGTCAACAGTGAATCTAACTACACTTTTCCAAGTATTTGATTATTGTCAAATGATACAGAATTCGGTTTAATTTTTCACATATTGAAATGTTTGTAACATTTTTCTTAATGTATTGGTTATTAATTATGTATCGTGTGCCTAAAAGAAAAAAATTTACATCATTAAAATTTTTTTTTAAAAAGTTAAATACAGTAGGCCCAAGCACTGAATTTTCGTTGTTATTAGCATTAAATTTAAATAAATTTATTTAGAAATCGTGAGATGCGGTCTGGTGTGATATAGGTTTCAGAAAAACATTTTCTTTGTCGTGCCAACGTTTCGATCTTTATTGAGATCATCTTCAGGGCTCAATAAAGATCGAAACGTTGGCACGATAAAGAAAATGTTTTTCTGAAACCTATATCACACCAGACCGCATCTCAAGATTTCTAAATAAATATCGATTAACGGTCACTAATCACCACACATTTAAATAAATTGTTGAAGTAGTGAGAAACAGTCAGAAATTAACTATTTTAGGTAAATATATATAGATACTTTTTTATTTTTTGTGACGTTTCGGCTTTTATTCAGGTCATCTTCAGTAGCTGGACGAATTACAAACATATTTATTGTAGAAAATTATACAATACAGATGTAAATAATATAAATTTTGAACATTTATACGATATGTATTTCGTAATTATTCATATTTCGTACTTCAATAAGACGGCAAAAAAGTGAAAAATACGCCATTCTCATTTCAATTACACACTTTAATTTTAAAATTAGAATAATTAAGGAAAAGTATTTATTTTCTAACTCTTTATTGATGAAATGAACTAAGTATTGGGAAAGCCGTTTTGAAAATTTCAAACACAAAATACTGTATGTTCGAATTTTGATATTATTACTTAGACTTTTTTAAATTGGAATTTGGTTGTTAGTCGTTTGATTCTACCTTTTTTGTGTGTTGTTTTGCTTTGGGTTGAAAGTTGATTCTAGTATGATGTTTTCTATATCACATCTCTTCCTATTCTTGTTTATACTGACCTTACGGAATTTTATGTTGTATTATTATTGAGTGACCTAACATAGGACATTTTATTTGTTGAATCGATTGAAATTGTACGATTTGGGGAGTGTTTCAAATGTGGTTTGTCGAGTAGAACGGAACAATTTTTCGGAAAACGAAGAAGGCGGGTAAGGACGATCGTTGAGAAGATGATTCAATGGGAAATAATCCCTCGGTATACCCGCGCTCGGAGGATTGCGGAGATAAATTTGATGAGTTCGAAGAAAAATCTTTTACCACAAACTGCTTCGCGAGGAGGAAAACTGTCAGTCATCGAATAATGTGCCCAACTCGGCCGGCTCTCAAGGAAAAGCGGCTTGCATCAGAGAATAGAAATGGAGTGGTAAGTCATCCATGACAATCCAAGGCCTCGTATTTCGTCGGCGAGGGACATATCATGTACAGAACATTCCTGCTAAAGGCCTTTGCAAAATCTTATAAAGATAAACAACAATTGAACGGAGCGAGATGACACTAAATTGCGTGAATTATTTTCAACCGTTATTTTGGGAGATGCTTGATTTTGGGAGTGAACTTAAATAAGGGGCGTCGGTGGCCGCAACGGTTTAGGCATAGAAATGGCGCTCATCTCTCTCAGGTAAAAGTCCCGGGTACGAATCCAGCGGCCCTGCATTTGAACCCGACGTACTTACAAATGGGATTTTTTTCAAAAACACCGGCGGTTGATATAACCTCTGCTGTTGCGAACCCTTCTAAAAAAATAAAACTTAAATAATATAACTGCTATTTTAACAAAATTGCCTTTTATTCCGCATAAAGTTTAATGTTCTTTGATTCAAAATTAACATTAATAAGAACAAAGAGAAAAGGCTGATCAGAAGAGAAGAATTCATCGGCTCGAAACAATCAACAACGTCTCACCAAGATTGGTTGCAGAAAGTTAAAACAGAACGAGAGATGAATGAACTCGGTTATAACTTTAGAATAAAGAAAACTGTTTCCATGGTCTCTTTTCATTGAAGCTAGTTTATTTATTTTTTTGGCCGGCAAACTTTTAACACTTTTTCGCGTTTTAAACCCGCTTCCTCAAGGCCTCGCCAATTGTGGATAAAATAACACAAATAACTAACAAACATACTCAGAAAACAGAAATAAGATAAACACATGATAGTCTGTTTAACATTCACAGTACCTCTGAGTAGTCGATATCCTCGGAGTAGTTAGGAATATGCACACTCCATTCACGCTAATAAATAAATTACATTATCACAGCAAACTTTGTTCAGACTACCCAAGACTACTCGATATTTTTCAGGGAAATTAGGGATAAGCCCTTCATTCACACTACTAAATTACATACTCACTACACCGGAGTACTAGATATTCCTCGGGGTAATTGGGGATAAGCCCTTTCATTACACTAGCAAATTACACTCACACATTCATTCTCACTATCCCGGAGTACTCGAAATTCCTCGGGAGAATTGAGGGTAAACCGTGTCATTCCCGCTAATAAATGACATTATCTCATCACACTTCGTTAATGCGACCCCAGAGTTCTCGAAATTCCTCGGGATAATTGAGGACATTGCCCCGTCATTCACGCTAATAAATTACATTATCTCATCAGGCTTCGTTCATACGATCTCCGAGTACATTCACATACATTCACGCTAATAAATAAATTACATTATCACAGCAAACTTTTTTCAGACTACCCAAGAGTACTCGATATTTTTCAGGGAAATTGGGGATAAGCCAGGTCATTCACACTACTAAATTACATTCTCACTACACCGGAGTACTCGGTATTCCTCGGGATAATTCAGGATAAATCACGCCTTTCACCCTAATAAATTAAATTATCTCACTAGACTTCGTTCATACGATCTCAGAATACTAGTTATTCCTCGGGGTAATTGAGGATACCCTGTCATTCACGCTAATAAATTACATTATCTCATCAGACTTCGTTCGTATGATCTCCGAGTACTAGACATTCCTCGGAGTAATTAAGGATGTGCCCCCCCATTCACGCTAATAAATTACATTCACACATTCATTCTCACTACCCTAGAGTACTCGATATTCCTAGGGATAATTGAGGATATTACCCTGTCCTTCACGCTAATAAATTACATTATCTCATCAGACTTCGTTCATATGATCTCCGAGTACTAGACATTCCTCGGGGTAATTGGGGATAAGCCCCTACATTCACACATTCATTCTCACTACCCCAGAGTACTCGATATTCCTCGGGGTAATTGAGCATAACCCCCTTCATTCACACATTCATTCTCTCTACCCCAGAGTACTCGATGTTCTCGGAATAATTGAGGATATTATCCTGTCATTCACGCTAATAAATTACATTCCCACATTCAATCTCACTCACCCTCGGGGAGCTATGTTTATTAAACCTAACTTCATTAAGAATTTACTTTTACTTGACTTGAGACTCCATAGAAGAAATAAGTGTGATCTCAATATTTCTCACCAATTTACTGCGGACAATTTTACAATATGTCAAGTGTTACTGCATTCGGGTGAAGAAAGTTATGAAACGTACGTAACACTAGTGGCTATGCTCGGCTGATTCTTTATTTCTGTTTATCAAATGGAGGGGGGCCCAGGGAACCGTAGAGCAGTAGAAATATTTCAAACCCCCATTTATTTAATCAAGAATTAACTAGAACAGATTGCCGTCTGGCTACCTCGTCTTCCTACGAAGTTCTAATTGCGTCCGAATCTGAATATTTATGAGCGCCGGTTCAATTGAAATTGCACAACCTGCCCGTTCAGGGCGTCACCGACCGTAGAGAAATATGAGGGCGGAATAAACCGGCCGTCTTGCAAAAGTTGTCTACGCTTTTTCACAACATCTGTTCATCGCTTTGGCCATTGGAAAAACAAAAGAGAAAATTGTCAGTTTGAAATAAATTCTTATCCTTCCTGGACTGTGGACAAAAATCGCCCTGTTCCTTCAACCGCTGCCTTTATTTATAATCGGCATCACTACAGAGCTAATAAATTCAATGAAGATGTACAGCTAATGAACAATTGGTTTAAATCGCTAGTTTTTTTTAAAGACATGGAAGGTGTCACATAAACGACGACCACATGATAAAAATTCCTATTTTTACGCCAATTTTTTCTTGTGTTTAAGTAGATAAATAATCAAAATTGTCATAGATAACGAGAAAGGGTGAATTTTGTACGACTCGTGTTTAATCAACGGCAGTTACCGTTTCAAACATTGCATAGATTCAAATATGCAAAATGAGAAATTCAGCGAGGTAAGTTCGAAATTAATCGATCCGTGACATCGAAACTCCCTTCTTTCCTGCCGTACTTTAACCTCGTTCTATTTGCAGCATTATCAAAGATTGTGAACAAAATGTAAAAGTGTCGATTATGGAGAAAAAGTCCTTTGCGGAAAATTCCAAATTTGTTAAAGTTGACAAACAACCGAATAATAACATCGAGGAAGCACCGCTGCAGGAAATATGTAAGCTTTATTTTACCATAATCCTTGCTAAGAAAATTAAATGAAATTGTATTTACAGAAAACAATGTTTACCAAAACCCACTTCACACCCTCCCAAATCCGCTAAACATTAATTCAATAAACTTATCTCGTTCATGATTATTCGGAGATCGTGAGTGGCGGTCTGGTGTGATGTAGGTTTTTAGAAAAACATTTTCTTTATCGTGCCGACGTTTCGATTTTTATTGAGATCATCTTCAGGGCTCAAAGTGTTTTCCGTGTAGATGTGTAATTCTTGTCTGTCGTGTTGAGAGTGCTTGTCTTGTTCATTCATATTTTATAAAATGTGTGACTTTCCTTATATTACTTAAAACGTCATTTTCATATGTAATCGCTAAAATATGTACATATGATGAAGTTAGAATATTCAGTCAATAGCATATACTTGCATTCCTTTCATTAGATAAAGAACACTGTTTTAAAATTACCGCCATTTTTCCAAATGCTTCATTACTGAGGTATGTACCGTACTTTAACTCGCTCTCGTTTGGTAAAGACGAATATAACGTAAGCACTGAATCATTAACGATGTTGGTACTGCAGGCACGGACTTAGTTACGAAAATCAGGGCAAGTTAAAATTTTTACATGTCCCCGACGAGAGGAAATAAACTTGATTTACATTTTTTAGTACAGCAGCTACCCTTCTATGACGATAAAAACATATTTTTTTACTTCAACAAACGGTGTAAAACAAATGATTACTTTTTTCTAATAATTTAAAGAAAATAATGCAATAAGGCATAGTTTGTTATATAATTATTAATTATTCAATCGTGTGCTTGTTCTGTGTTGTATTACTTCGGCGGAAGTACTAGGGGGCTAGGGTATTTTTGTATTTTCTTCTTAAATTTTCCGTCGAATAACCTTTCACGCCACCGACGTCATTTCGTATTAGTTAGTTCCAATTTCCGCTTTTTGGATTTTGACCTTCGGTTGTCAATTAATAATCTTGGACGAATTTGCAGTTCTGTGTAAGGAAGTAACGCTGGAATCCGTGATGAACAATTTCGACAGGGCTTTCAGAAGAGAAACGTACGGGATTTTGCCTCAGACTGATGTAATTTGACAATTAATCGTTCCTGAAGTGCTTTTCACTAAAAGATTTTGATTTTTAGCTCAGTTTGGAGGAAATAGGTGAAAAACCGCGGAAAAGCTCGTTCTGGCAAAGGTTGCAAACGTTTCTGTTCTCAAGGAAGAAGTTGTCATCGCTCTTCTCTAGAAGCGACACGAAAACCGATTTCTCCGCCGTTTCCGAAGGATCCATTCACGAGAAGAACCAAGACACGGCGGACGTTTCCGCAGCACAAAATCCCGCCCCGAAAACGGCGCAGGACTCGCAAGTGGTGTCTCCGAAGTTGTCGCACAGGCAAGAGTCTCAAGGCTCGTCGGCTATTAAGGGCAAGACGTCATCTGGGTCCAAGTCGTCACGTGCCGAATCCGGAATTCTTTCGATGTTGAACCGGAAAATTTCGGGCCGGCTCAAGGGACAATCGAAGGGCCAGATAGGAAGCTCGTTCGACCACAGTCAAGGGCACGTGAAGCAGGACACGTCGCTCCACTCTCTCGCGAAAAGGACGACCGTTTATACACACGATTTGATTTTCTTAACGGAAGAAGACAGGCGTGATAAATACGAAACGGCGAGGAAAAAGCGGGAGAAGGAACTGTCCTTACTTCAGACCACGTTGCAGCAGACGCTCGGCCCTGCAGATTCAGACGAGCTCCTTGTCCAGGACCGAAATCAGATCAAATCTGTGCTGGATTTGACCAATCCGGTCAGCAGATCGCCCTCCAACCCAGTCCTCGAGACTACTTCCGATCAGTCTAAAAACTTAAATTGTAACGAAAACTAAGATCGTCTAAGGTAAACATATTGTCAAATAACACTACATATGTTTTATTACTAATTTAATGTTTTTCTACAATTATATTATATACTATAAGAAAATTACCTAAATTTCTTCTTGTTATGCACTTTACTCTATTGAAGAACAGAATAGAAAATACAGAACGAAAAATATCTCTGGAAGTTCAGATTTTTCTTAAAAACACAAGTTCACACATTAAAACACATAAAAATTTCCAAGATTTTTACCGTTCCTGGTCATTTTGGTCTGCCAGAAGTGTTTCAGCTTCTCGCCATCCTCATACATGGATAAATAGAAGGATTAAGTCCAAGTTTCTAAAATGTGAAGGGGTGATTAAGCACTGTCGGAATTGTCCTGCCAGCCCCATTACCAAAGATGCTGAAACAGCATGACAGACCAAAACCAGGGGATGGACGGACTAAAATTATTGGAAACCATAAAACTAAAAGTTCATCGACTCGGCCTTCAGAAGATGTCCCACAAACTTGAAACTGTATTTTTTGTTCTTTTTCATATTGCAGGTCGAATTTAATTAGGTGAAGAGGTGTAATCCAGTGACAAATATTTTCTACTTTAACCATAAAATGATATAAAAATACAATAGAGATTATCCACAATGAATGAAAAAGAACTATGATAAGGCAAATTTTCAAAATTCTTTGATTGATTTCTGAAAAGGGGCCTTAAAAGTTAGGCAAAACTTGTTAATTCCATCAAAAATGTTTGGCAGTGAAAGGGTTGTTTTCAATTTACATAATTGATTTCAGTTTTTTACCGCTCTTCCAGAGTAAGTCCGTTCATGCTAGGAACTTGGATGGGGATAAATTTGAGCCTTAAGGGTTCGGTAGTAGTCTTTCATCCATTTGTCTCTACGCTCGTTCATTTTCCAATCGAAAGTACTTTCATTAATGGAGAATTTATTAAAGTAAATTATTGATTGAAATGAGTGTCTTTGACAGTTCGTTCCCGAGAACTCATCATCAACAAGACAAGAGGATCTTTAGCGTCCGCACCGGCCTTTTCGGCCTTATCGGACGTTTTGATTCTGAAGATGAGAACTGACGCACCTCCGCATACGACGGAAGAGTGATACCACCGCAGCATTGGTGTAGAGGCGCCCCAGCCGCTAAGGGCCAAGACAACCTCGCTCTCCGCTTGTCCACTCCCAATGGTAGGGCCCGCTTTGTGCATCGGGTCGTATGCCGCACGCAAAGGGCTAACAGGCCGAAATACATCGGCCTGTTCTCCCGCGTACTCCCTAGATAGAGTAGGCCACTCTATCTCCCTGAGTATTGAGGCTGCCCTAGCGTAGAAACATCCGGGAACGCCCCGGCAGCGGTTTAGTTTAAAGTGGAATTGCTAACCACACCCTAGAAGAGCACCGCCTACGGTAAAAAGTCCCTTATTCGAGCTCAGCCTACACCTGCCATGCGCATTCGAGGGACTCCATACACTCACCCCAGGTAGTCCGATCCTTCGCTTCCCCAAGGGTACCACGCCGGTCATACGCACAATGCAAAGCATACTCGAGTCAGAGAAACAGATTCACTACCCGTTTCCGTTCGCTTACTCACGCATTCGAGGGACTGTTCAGGATAATCATCGCGTCCTCAACGCTTACACGCTGTCTTCCAGTCGCAACGTCTCCCTTGAGGCCGGGGGTAATAACGCTGGCCATACGCAAGCTTCACGAAGGTCACAGATAGCAGACAGCCTCTGTCTAAGTTCCCGCCAGGGGAGTCACCACGTGCCACCACGAATCCGTTCCCAGTGTAACTTGGGCTGATTTGAAACATTTAAGTTACCCCGTGGTACAGATGGCCATAAACCCTCCCCCCGTCTGTGCAGACAGGATCTAGTGCACTGGCCCTCGTGTAACTCTTTTAAGACACCCGCCGCCCATGCCGAATCTAGGCCGACACGAGTACAGAGAGGTTGCCACGCCCTCAGGTCTGCACCTTTATTTTGTGTCCGGATACCCCCTTGCATCCAAGGGTTGGGAGAGGGGTCACAGGAACTTGGATTGAGAAAAAGAGCCGTGGATGAGAACACGAGGTGAGCCGTTTCGGGGTCTCGAGTCTCAAACCACACTATACCACTCGTCGTCGCCGTAGTTCCACACATAGTGGGCCACGACTCCTAGGGTGGGTGAGTAGATTCCGAATTACGAAGGACGGTCTCATATAAAAGTCAGTATTCTGTGTCAGTCAATGAACAAATATTATTTTCTGATTATTTTCTTGCCAAACTTTTTTTTCGGAATAACATAACTTCGAACTGACAACCGCGATCACTAAATTTATTCAAACTAATAAATATTGAGTTTAAAAAGAATCATTCTTCCAAAAAGCGTATTATATTATATTAAGAAATAATTGTTTAAAACAATTTTAGTAAAATCAATGACAGATTTTCCGTGAGCTACGGCTCAGTAAAATTCTTTAGGAATTCAGTAAAATTTATCAACTAAAAGTAACTTTTCTTCTATTTACCAGAAAAAAACGAGCTAATTGAGTGAAGAAAAATTTTGTTCAGTGTTACTAACCCTTTTACACTCTTTGACTAATAATAAATTTAAAAAAACAAATCAGTTCAATTTCCTTCTTCCGGATCCAACTTGTCGTGTGAGTCGGTTTTTTTTTCTTCGGTTTTCTTTGACTAAACAATAAATCTGAGTGAAAAATAATCGCTAATTTTTTTTCTTAAAAGAATGGCCAGATGCTTTGGCCAACGACGGATGTAGTGGGTGTCCCACGCTCTACCATCCACGATGGTCTGCAACGGTTTAGGGCCACCGGAAGTCTAATTCGAAGGAAGTGGTCGACCGCGATGTACGACGGCTAGAGACAATCGTTTTTTTGCTCTCACCACACTACGGAACTGTCATTAAACGTCTTACTCGATAGGTAGTCAACCCCAAACGGTCCGTAACGTAAGGGTGAGTGTTTATAGTCATCAGAAGGGTTTGTGAGAATAGTCTCTAGACGTCCTGCATCAGGTTCTCTACTATTCGACAGGCATCAAATAGAAAGACTTGTCGTAAATCAGCTCGCTTGGATGGTTGAACAATGCTGGGGTGTTCTCTTCACGGATGAGTGCCTGTTTGGTATCTGGCAACCAGATGACCGTAGTGTAGATAAACCTTTACCGCATGTGCAAGTGACCTCAAAGGCAGTCAGCTATGGTATGACGTGGAATAAGTCCATGCCCTTACCGACCTGATTATCATAAAGAATCGATATTTCATTGCACTAAGGAACATTAAGGAAGGGGAGCCGCGGTAGCCGAATGGTTAGCGAGAGAGACTCTCGGCTCGTAGACCCCGCGGTCGTGGGTTCAATTCCCGCCGTCGCCTCTGGCCTTTTTCACGTTACCCTTCCCTCCAAAACAAATACGCATAATAAAAAAAACAAAGAAAAAAAAGTTCTGCTGAAAAGCTGCGGTCCCATTTCTCTCCATTTTTGGAAACAATATCGTACTGATGAATGATAAAGCATGTAGGGCGCGTTGCCACCCCAAATCACTTATAATATATTGTAACGAATAGTAATAAATTGTTAATTTAATTCTATTCTACCACTAAATGATTTTCAGACGTTTTGGTGAAATTTTTTTAAATTATCATAATTATATAATATTTTTATTACAACTCTTGAATTTCTGATCTCATTTAATTTAGTTTACATTAAAATAAGTATAATGTATTTAATATAACGATAAAAATACATATAGTTTGAAATAGATAACAAAATAGTGCCCATTGATTTGTCTTTGAGTGTAGGTGATTATCAGAATGAAAATACTAAATAGTTAATCGTTTTATGTGAGGTTTTGGTTGAAATGAAAAAGCTAGTGCCACGAGAGGGTTTCAAACCCAAGACCTTCTTGCTAATAACTTATTTTACTCCTGAGTCGTCACACATTCACCCCAGGGTACTTGATATCGGGTGAGAAAAATTGTTAGTTAACTTTTAATCTATCTATTAGGTTTCGTGGTCCGATTGACCAAATAAATTATTTTCAATTAATTAGTCTTTAATTAAGGTTTTGGCTGAGATAAAAAAGTCAGTGCCACGAGCGGGATTCGAACCCACGATCTTCGGCTAGATACGCCGCTACTCTACCACTTGAGCTATCGTGACTTCGATCCACTCGAACACCTCCCATCTCAACCCCCACTTTTTGAATTTTCCCTCCTTTTTGCCATTTTTCATTTGCTGCTCGTGACACTGACTTTTTTATCTCAACCAAAACCTTAATTATGCTCTATCCAACATTTTATTGATATGATAATATAATTTTAATTTCAGGGTTTCATAGAGAGGAAATCAATAAGAAAATCGGAGCGGTCGGCGGGTTAATTATTTTTTCAGCATTTGCCACAATGTCCTGTGTATTTCTCGTGTTGGAATAAAAAACAACATGGAGCACTATCGCCTCTCAAAAAAACCAACTATTCATCTCATGTGGCTGGTATTGTTCAAAAACTAACTCAAAACTAGAAGTAAAGGACAGATAGTAACAAATGTGCCGATAAATTAAAACAGCTCAAATAGAAATCATTTTCAAATTTGATTGTTATATCCTTTAAACATTTAAGAGGCTGTATATATTAAAAAAACATTCATAGAAACAACAGTAGTGAGATAAAGGACATATTATATTATTTTATTATAGTTGACAGAACGAAAAATGTAATATAAAAAATCAGAGTATTTGTTTGAATTATTTAACCTGCCCTTGTAAAATAAATTACCTCCCAAACGTTTCTTTTCTCGGACGTGTAACTTATAAACAATTCCTAATTAATTAGGATCAGCCTAAAAGTTATAATTGTTTGAAGGACCTTCTAATATTTCAAACAAAAAATTCGCTCCTCCAAAGGCCCCAGGATATGATATAATTAAAATCAACGTACGACAAAAATTGTCTGATAAAAGTTTTTTCTCGTGTTCATCAAAAAAGCAAAAACATTGTACAGCGAGGAAAATAATTTTGAAATCGTATTAAAATTGAGTACAACGAAAAATCTATAAAATGTTCTTTCTTCTTTAGTTAAAACTTGACCAAAATCTACCACACTACCATTTTTGACTCCACTTTACAAAAGGTTTCACCCCACTTTTTTCGGACCTCTTTCAGCGGAAACGGATTTGTAAGATTTCCCCTTCCGTCTTGCGTGGTGAATAATGTGTAATCTGGCCGTTATAGTAAAGATTCAAAGAGAATCAAATGATCAGAAACGACGAAACTACAGGTGCAACATTGTCTTGTTGTTTCTCTCTTTGGCTAAAGCATTTGAATCGGGTAGGGCTGTGGAAGCTTAAAGGCTTCTTTCATTTTACTTCTTAATCCTAAAATCCCATCTGACAGATTGATATTGCCTCATCTCAGGGTGCCGTCTTTTCCTCTTACGTTTCCGTTAAAGCTGGTGCCCCAGGGGAACAACCTAGAGCTCTTTCTAATCACATGATACAAAGGAACTCCTCTCTTTCAGCAGGGAGGATTTGAGGAGAATTAGGCCTGCGCCCTATTAACTATCAACTTAAGAAGATGGGTAAAGCTGAGACGGAAAGATGCCGGCTTCGTTAGAAAGCATGAGAGACATCGAACATAATATTTGTGAATGTAAATCGTTAGCTCGTTTACCACATCGGCAGGACATTTCTCATAGCAGATCAATAGGCACTAAGGAAAGCACTGTTTTTAGTGAAGAATAGCACACCTTCCATGGTGTAGCTATAGGCAAAATGGGTTCCACAATAGGCCTGTTTAGGTAGCAGCGTAAAAAATAACTGTCTTCTGTATAAACCTCTCAAACATTTTAAAAATCACATTGTACACTACCAACTCGTTCTCCCTAACAGTATATATGATATTTTGATGACGACACTATAGCAGAAGTATCCACCTTCCTTCTTAACCTTCTCTAGTATGCACTATCTGTAAGTTTATTGATCTTCCTTTCTTTCTTTATTGAAATGCGACTTATTCCCAAACGTAATCCCCACTAAAAACACTGGAAACTGATATTACAAACTGCTCCTTAAATCTTTCGGCCAAAGTCCTACTCAATCCTCATTGAACCGCACTCACTATCTTGAAGACCGAGGCCGACAAAACTAGGGATTTAATAAAATCTAATTCATCCAATCAAAAATTCTCTGAAAATATACTTGTTTTTAAATTGAGCAATCGTGCAGAAATCTGCGATGGCAAGATAATACAAAAGAAAATCGAAAAAAAATCGAGTAGAGAAGCTATCCGGTGGTAGCACACCTAAACAATCGTAAAAATTACAATTAATTAAGGTTTTTAGTTGAGATGAAAAAAAGCTAATGGCACGAGCGGGATTCGAACCCAAATTTAACCCCACCTTATGAGTTTTTCCTCCTTTTTGCCATTTTTCAATGTTTTGTTCGAATCCCGCTCGTGCCATTAGCTTTTTTTCATCTCAACTAAAAACCATAATTAATTGTAATGTATTAATTGGTCAAGCAGACCACGAAATTAGTGAATTTAATGATTAAAATGAAGTACACTTCACTAAAGCTCTCTGTGGCCATTTCATTTGTCGTCGAGAATCCAATACGATTACACGACATTTGAAAAATGGCAAAAAGGAGGGAAAACTCAAAAGGTGGGGTTGAGATGGGAAGTTAATATCCGAGTGGATCGAGGTCAAGGTAGCTCAAATGGTAGAGCAGCGGCGTATCTAGCCGAAGATCGTGGGTTCGAATCCCGCTCGTGCCATTAGCTTTTTTTCATCTCAACCAAAAACCATAATTAATTGTAATGTATTATTTGGTCAAGCGACCACGAAATTAGTGAATTTAATCGTAAAAATCATCAGTTCATCACTCGCATTCTCTGAGAGCCTATCTTTCTAGACGTCTAGGAAGATCGGAAACATTGAAGGGGGTTAACAATGGATCTAAGGATCCATGATTGTAAGAACTGCATTCTTCGGAAATTGGATGATTTGGTTGACCCCCCATAGTTCTATGACTATGTCATATTGGTTACATTATTGAGTTGTATAAAAGTATTTTGTTGTCATGAGAGAATCTGTTGTCTTGTAAGCAATCAGTATTGTCCTTTCAATTGTAAACTTTTAACGTGAATGGGGCTTTCAGGTTAATCGTTTAACAACTCAAGGTAGTTGATTTTATTTAGCCGAAAGTCTGGTTTCGAATCCCGCCTGTGACACAAATTTTTCATTCCGAAAAAAAAATTGTGTAAATTAATGGAGTATTTATATAATTAATAGAAGCTGATAAAATTTAGTATCTTTCATAAATATTAATTAATTGAAAAATGTTAATTGGTCAATCGTATCACGAACTGTAATGGATTTAATTATTGGAGGTTTATTAGAATTGACTGGATTTCGAGAATGGTCTTAATCACTGTTTTTAAAATTAATTACTTTTTTTATAAATGTATTTACGAGAAAGTTTACTCAAAATTATGAGCTAAATGCAAATTATGAGGAGAAAAACCTTAATGGCGCTTGTAAAAACAATTAACATAAAGCTAATGCGTTTTTTGTATAATGCGTCGAAATCTGTTTAATCTTTATTTTTACGCAGGGATAGCCAGGTGAGTCTATTTTCAACCCGACTAATGCTTTATTCCTATGGCGCGTCGAAAAGTCTCTCACCACATATAAGTAAGAAGGAAAAGTATACATGTGACAAATAATCACATTTATTTATTGGGAACAAAAGTCGCAGTTGTAATATTGATAATAGGATGAAACAAGATTGGTCCATTGATATTGTTTTACTTTCCATGTTTTTAAAGACAAGGGATGTAATGTTCCAAATCGTAATGGAACGTTAAAACGTCGTTTGTACCCATAGAACTACAATCTAAAACAGTCCGACATTGTTGTATGCACACTTACATGTTGGACTGGTGAGGAGCAATCAAGAATTTTGCCGACGTTTCGACCTTTATTCGAGTCATCTTCAGGGCCTGGGTGAATTACAAACATATGTTGATTGGACAAATGCAATACGGATGTACATATAAACTTTGAACCAATTATTTCTTACCCGCATAAAATGTAGTGCTAATCTTGTTCGTGTTGTCTGAAATTGTTGTGAAACGTGAATTTGTATTCTGCTGATTTTATATGATTGGACAAGGGGGACGCGGGAAATCTGGGTAATTATCTTTGATCACAGGCGGTTTTATTTGACTCAAAGGAAGTCGAGAATGGGGATTTTCTGGATTCGATTTGTGATTCGGCATTCAGTATTGGAAAAGAAGTTAATTGTTAAGGACGATAACAAAGGAAGGCGAAATATAAAGATAAAATTTAATAGTTCATTTGCTTTATCATATTGGCTTAACTAGGGCTAAGTTTTGCATTTATCTGTTCTGTAATCAATGATTATTTGGAGATCGTGAGGTGCGGTTTGGTGTGACGTAGGTTTTAGAAAAACATTTTCTTTATCGTGCCAACGTTTCGATCTTTATTGAGATCATCTTCAGGGCTCAAAGTGTTTGTCTTCTGTGTAATTGTGCCATTCTGGCGTGTCGTGTCGAGAGTGCCCACACACGCAGTGCTAAAAATTTTAGACTCAATCCAAAGTATTTGTACTCATTCAAAGTGTGCCGTATTGAGAGTGCCAGTGAGAAATTGATGTTTTATGTTTATATACGTTGGAGTTTGAAGGGGTGGAGAAGGACTGTAATCTATGCTTTGTGCTCCTCTGTAAATGTAAACCATTTCTACAAAGTTGTGTTTGTATTTGTGTTTTTTTCAATGTTTAGTATTTGTATTTTGTTCGAAGTTTTCTTTTCCAAAATGGTGTGTGGTCTGTCCTGTGGGATTGATTTTTGGTGTCTTATAGTCATAGAAGTGTTGTTTTTTCCGTTTTTTTATATATTGCGATGTCATTCCAATGTGTGTAACTGGACAATTCTTACAATTAATTTTATAAATTACATCGGATTTATAGGCTGTAAGTGTTGTGTCTTCAACTGAGGAAAAAATTGTGTGTACTAATTCACTACTTTCGTCGTCCGCTTGACCAATTAATTACATGAAAATTATAGGTAATTAAGGTTTTTAGTTGAGATGAAAAAAAGTTAATGGCACGAGAGGGATTCGAACCCACGACCTTCGGCTAGATTCTTTGCTGAATTGGGTTAATGATGTGTTGTGTACTGTGGAAGATGTTGGTTTACGTAGTGCGCGGTTATAATTGTGTATGATTCGGTTGTTCTGAATGTACAACCTTTCCTAAAACAATAATTTATATAATTGTATGCACTTTACTTCAAAATTCGCTAATTTCATTTTTTTTAATTATGACAAGCAGCAAGTCGGCTAGGAGAAGTAAGTGGATTGTATCGAAATTGGCTTTAGGCGAAAAAGCGGATTTGGAAACTTAAAAGAGTATTTAGCAGGTAGCCCGGGTATAACGAATTAGTTAAATTTAACCTCTGCTCCTCCACTGATTGGCAATTATGACCGAACCTATTTACCTTTTATCCAAGGAAAAGTCATTAAACGGAATCCGTGGCCACCTTTTTCCTTACTCCGTTCAACGATTTTGAGG